GTGTGTTAATATCCATTAACATGTTTTCAATTTTTTCTAATCTATCTTCTTCTACTTTGTTATCACTTTTAATATTACGATTAGTATTTCTATCATCTTTTCTAAGTTGTTTATTTTTAGCAACCTCTGCGTATGTTTTATTACCTATCTGTTTATTAATGATATTATAGAATCTTGAATTGAGTCGTTTATAAATTGGTTCAAATTTATCTAGTCTATCTACATTTTTCTCTTTAATTTCGTTATCCTTTAATTTTTGTGAACATTCGATAACCAAATGGTCTGTAGCATGACAACGGTGACACATTTTAGTTTGTATATCAACAATTCTAATATTGAATTCTCCAAATTTCCAGGAAACATTTAAAGAATTTCTACATGTTTCATAGTCTTCAAACGAGATAATTGCTTCGTTTTTTCGTCTATATGTTCTTGTTCTTGGGATATAACATGTTCTCGCTCTAATTTTTTCTACATGAGGCCATAACTCACGTGCTGTTATACCATTGGGTAGACCGATAATTCTGGTTGCATGTTCTCCTCTAGATTTGAGATTATTAGCTGTTTGATCTATTTGTATAACCCTCAAGGAGTCTTCTCCAATTATAATGCTCCATTTTTCCATGTCTTTTTTTACATCTTCCTTTTCTTTAAAGATAGCAACTGCAGATTGCCACATGTTATTAACTCTCATAGTTAGTCTTTCTATTTCACCATATTTATTTTCTAGGTCTTCTTTGAGTTCTTTGTTTTTCATTCCCAGCGGCACGTCCCACAGTTTCACACCATGTATTAGCTCCTTAACTAGATTTCTTCTAAAAATTTCAGCCCTATGCATGTAAGTAGGCTTTCCTGCATTGCCTCCCACATCACATTGCTTGCCCTTTACCATTTCTTCTTCATTGTCGTATAATGCAGAAATCATTCTATTGTTCTTGAATACTTCAGTTTTTACCAAGACAACTGCCATTTCTTTTTTTAAAATTTTTCTAACTTTTTCTACTTTTTCACTGATATTTTTCCCCATAATTTTTCCTGCATAGGTCCAGATTTTATATTTTTTTACGTTGAAATTACTGCGCCATTCGGATTGATAGTCATTTTCTGTTTGGTATGAGTCAATTGATTCAGTTTTTTCTTTTTCTTCGTTATTTTCTTTATTGTTATTTTTATTAATACTTTTGTATTTTGTTTTCCCTTTATTATTAGTTACTCTTCTCTATCCTTGGTCATTGTTTTCTTCCCTATTTACAATATCTTCTTGTAATTCATAATTTCTACTTTCGATTTCTTCCATAACTTCTGTGTTTGTATTGTCGTTAT